ACTGCTGTTAATTAAGAATTGTTTTTGATCAGTCGTTGCATAATTATTATCCAATTGAATTTTTTAAATAAATTAACAAATTCAGTAAATGTTTTTCTATTATAAAATTTAAATTCTTTCAATCATTTTTTAAAAACTTTATTTTAGCAAACAGTTTTTAAAGTATAATTTTCAATATTACTAGTCTAATTTGATTCAAAAACAACTTTTTATTATTCATTTTATTTAACTATTTTAATGATTAATATTTATTTGACAAATAAATATTCATTATCGTAGTTGTTTCTTTTAATCTCTTCGATTTGTTGTCTCGTTTTTAATTTTGAAAAAGCTTTTTAATAGCAATCTTAGAACGCGTCATTTTTTATATAATTAAAACATCAGTAAAACAATTTATTACTTTTTTAAATTTCGTTTTTTTACATATGATATTATTAAAAAAATGTATCAGTTATTATGCAAAAGAAAGCACCAAAACATACAACAGTAATTAGAGAGCAAAAGACGAATTGGAGCACAATAGATTGTGTCGAGTGCATTATCTACTGCGGGTGCTAAACGATCTTTAAAGCATTGTCCGAAGTCTGTTTTTGAAACGAACTTCAAAAACATTTTCTTCAAAACTCGAACTCTGTATCGTTCAAAGTTAACGTCGTTCGAAGTATACGCAACTATATATGTTACCGCTAAAGCTCGAAATCCGTTAATGTGCGCATTACCTAGCTAATCTGCAGATTAACTAGGGTGATCCGTTAAAGCTGCGAAAATTATTGCATTTTTCAAATTACCTAGGTAATGTTCAGATTATCTAGGTAATCTGAAAATTACCTACTAGGCACTCGGTAAAGTGAAAATAAGATTTTTGCTGGAACAACAGCAACGTTTCTGTACGCTTAAATTAACATAATGTTATTTATTTAATTTTCAATATCTAAAGAATCAAGTTAATACAATCAACAAATTAGTTGATTGAATCAATCATCAATCAATTAAAAAAACTTTAATACAAAAATCAAACGGTTTAAAATATTACTACAATTAGGGAAATGAATTTGCAAAACATATGATAAAATTGTACTTACTTATTAGTGCAATCTAAAGATTGGTGACACTTTGAATTACGTAGCAATTGGTTTTTGCGACAAGCACGCCTATTTGTGGTACATTTAGATTTGCAGTCACATTTTCTGAAACCCTGCCCAGTACCAAGGGATTGTTTTATTGCTGTTTGACGTAAAGATATTTCTACAGCAGGGACATCCATCTTCTTTCGTTAAAAATCTCTCTTTGCAAACACTGAATTCAGATTTTGCATACAATTGTTTTAAAATACCTGTTTTAGTATCAAGTTTATAAAAGCCATCCTCTGTTTTACTAAGAACCACAGCTAAAATTGAACGTGCATCAGTTTTTGCTCTGTCTTCTTCGGGTACTTTAATTCTCACAGCGAAACCTTCATCGACGTTTGGGTGCTTTGCATTAGAAACTGCTAACATTTTCTTTGCTTGCTTTTCTAAACATTTCTTGGCTTCATCACGCTGTATTTTCTGATCCATATTCTTTTTACAGATGATGCACAATACATTCTTACCATACCCTTCCTCTTTAGGATCTACTTCACCACAAACTGCGTGAACAAACATATTACACGATTTACACTTGTGAGCACTTGATGCTGCTTTTGAGCAAACAATACAGACTATGTCTTGTATAGTGCTCTTTACAGGCTCCGTACGAAACTGTGATGGCGATTCTGCTGAAGTTGAGAGTAACTCAGTGATGACTTCTTCAACTTGCAGAGGCGATTCCTTGGAGGTGCAGGGTAACTGAATATTCTTCGTGACTGCATCATCAATCAACGGTATAGAAGGCAGTTTAAGATTACTATCGGTAAATTCTTGTATTTCTATAGGTGATTCTGTAGAAGCGGGGGATAACGGAATGTCCTCTTGAGTAAGATTTGACTGTGATCTCATAATCACAGTCTCTTGTGAATCTTCTAATTTTTCAAGGTCTTCTTCAGTTTTTATCGAATGTCAAACAATTCTCCGGCATGGACAAACTTTTTCAAACCTTTCTCGCGCATCTGACAACGGCTCAATGAGTTTTTCACAGCCTCGTACAGTCAACACGAGACACCTTTGAATTATTTAATGATCTCGAGATGATTCTTCCTTCTTAAAAACTTTTATTTGCTTTACATCTTCAATTATAGAATCATACTTCAGTTTGTTATTAAAACACTACGTATTATATTTTAAATCTTCGCTAAAGAGGTTTGCGGAGAATCTTTTCTTGATTTTACTCACGAATTCGGTGCTTGCTTGCATTCTAGGATTTAAAGTTATCTACGTAAAAAGAAGGAGTGAGGAAAAGAAGTGAAAGAAACAAAGTTTTGAACTTTAACGATACGGAAGCCGTTAATATGCAGATTACCTAGATACTCTGCAAATTACCTAGGTAATTTGAGAAATTGAACAATTTTCGCAGCTTTAACGGATCACCCTAGTTAATCTGCAGATTAGCTAGGTAATGTACACATTAACGGATTTCGAGCTTTAGCGGTAACATATACAGTAAAACCATAGTTTTACTGTATATATAATTGTTTATATCATACTTTGGATAAAAAGTAAAAGACTTATTTACTTCTCGTGTACTTTCTGGTTATTATTATTAAATTACAATTCAGGAAACGTTAATAATAGTAATAACTTTCTAATATGAATCTATATATATAATCGAGACGGGTTGATAATAATAATAATAATAATAAGCGAAGAGCCCAAACGATTAGGAGCTGAAAGTTGAAATTTGGTACACAGTTAGGGTACGTCAAGAGAACGCACACTATGAAGGGTTTTCGAAATTTCCCTCCGCGGTGGAGAGGTACAGAATCAAGGCTTTGACAATGGAAGTGTTAAGTAACAATGGTTTAATAATAAGTAAATAAATGTTTTACTTTTTTTCCAAAGTATGATATAAACAATTATATATGCAGTAGAGCCATATACTTCGAACGACATTAACTTTGAACGCTACCGAGATCGAGTTTTGAAGCGAATGTTTTTGAAACTCGTTTAAAAAACAGACTTCGAACGATGCTTCAAAGATCTTACAGCACCCACAGTAGATAATGGACTCGATACAATCTATTGTGCTTTAATTCGTGCTTTGCTCACTGATTACTTTTGTATTGTTTTTGTGCAGATAAATCCGACATTGCTCGGGCATTAAGTGTTTGCAAAAGCTTTTAAATTAATAACAATCTTAGAACGCGTTATTTCTTTATTTAATTAAAACATCATACATTATATTTTTAAATTTCGGCCTTTTACATATGTTATTATTAAAAAAGTATCAGTTATTACGCAAAAGAAAGAACAAAAACATACAAAAGTAATTAGAGAGTAAAGGACGAAAAGGACGCCGGTCCTATCTAGCAGATAGGCCCGGCATTGCTCGGGTAAAAAGTAACGATAGCTAAGATTAAGATTATTACGTTATACCGTGTTTCCCCGAAAATAAGACAGTGTCATATATTAATTTTTGCCCTGAAAGATGCACTAGATCGTATTTTCAGGGATTGTCTTATTTTCGGGGAAACACGGTAGTCAATCTTACTCGTTTTAAGAAAATGAAAGAATTAGGTCCCCCGTTTCCAGACTAATTACAGAAATTTTAGCTGGTTTGAAAAATATTCGATTTCCCGCAAAAACGAAAATAAACTGCATCTGCGCCTATAAATCTTGCACATCGCTTTCTCTTAACACTTCCATTGTTGATACTTTTATTGTTACTTAAAACTTCTATTGTTGAAGCTTTAATCCTGTCTTTCTCCCCCACGGAAAAAATTTCAAAAAATTCCTTCTTAGTGTGCGTTTTCGTGACATACCCTAACTGTGTACCAAATTTCAACTTTCAACTCCTAACCATTTGGGCGCTGCGCTAATTATTATTATTATTATTATGTTGAGTTTAGTGAGTTTTACTCGGTTCACACCGGTGGCTGTGTACTATGCCGGACCACAGTCAAGGCATAGCAACCAAAACAAAACTAAAATTAAATAAGTGTGTCAGTGTCTGTATTCAGGAATTTCCTAACAATGTGGCATGTATTTAATATAGTGGCCTTCTGTAGTGTTATGTATGTATTTCTACTCAATTTTAATGTTCCCAGGCTTTTGTGTAGTGTGTGTGGTATCACACCTGTACAGGAAATAACAACAGGTACAATAACTACCCTATCCATCCTCCATAGATGCCTTATTTCCTGGGCAAGTTCTGTGTACTTGCTAATTTTTTCAGTGCATGTGTTTTGTACATTGTGAGTGTTTGGAATGGCTATGTCTATAATGTATGTGATTTTATTGTGTTTGTCAATGAGTGTGATGTCTGGTCTGTTGTGGTAAATTGTTTTATCTGTGATTATGGCTCTGTCGTAATACATTTTGTGCGTGTTATTTTCCAATACTGTCTGTGGAATATACTTGTAGTATGGTTCGTGGATGTCTGCCAATTTGTGTTTCTTTGCAAGCTCTTGGTGTATTATATTTGCTACTTGATTGTGTCTATGTAAGTAATCTGTCTGTGCCAAGAGCTTGCAACCAGAAGTGATGTGTTGTATAGTTTCTGGCATGATGTGACATTTTCTGCATGTGTCATTTGTGAGTGTTGTATCTTTGAGTATGTGTTTTCTGTAGTTTTTAGTATTTATGACCTGATCCTGTATGGCAATCATGAATCTTTCCGTCTAATTATTATTATTATTATTATTATCAACCCATCTCGATTATATATATATATATATATAATTGCATTTGGATATACATTGCAGAATATAATCAAGTTTATAATATCTTTTTGCTGCTCAACTGAATTGCACATTTTCATGCGCATTATTCAAAACTACCAAAAATGTTTTCATGAGTCCATTGTCCCGACATTTCCCATAATAGTTGAAATTTATAACAATACATATTCATATTTTTACTTCTTACTTTCAACACCACCAATAATATCGTATTCTCTTTCATCAGAATTAGTCTCACTTTTATTCTTAAATGGAAAAGCCACTATACTAAGAAACACGGGAATAAAAAGCATGGCATGGACCAACGTTTCTAAAGATATAAGAGTAACGATTTTTACGAATGTTGTGTAAATGTACATATTGTTATACAGAAATACTAGTATTACGAAAATTGCAGACATCGAACCTTGAAATATAGGAAACCCAACGAGATAAAGCGATTCCTTCAGCTTATGTTTGGCTACAGAATGCGAAGAAGTCAAAAACGCATAACACATGTGAGCCGGATAATTAATACAAAATCCGTTACAAAGTATCATAATCGTCATGGAAAAGACGTCAAGATTAACACCCCAGATTGACATAAATCCAATTGTTTCGACAATTATTGAAACAATCGAGAATGCAACAATTAATGCGCAAATAACGTTAGGAACAAATGAAACAAAAACAATAAATACTAACAGAGATGTTATCCAGAATAACTGAAGAGTAATTTGTTTGGTAATAACAATTTGTTCTACCAAAGGAAAAAAACAAGAATGGACAATAATTGGTAAATCAGATTCTTTTGCTATTTTCTTTAGATCGGTTAACACGGTACTTTCAATATCTTTATCAAACATATTTTTCGTTAAAACAAAAAAACGACTTCGGATAATATCTGTGTAATTGTTATTAAAATTTATGTCAGTCGAAAATTGTTTTGCTGCTTTAAGTCTCAAAAACACGTGGAGAAGTCCATCAATGAAATCTTGTTTTTGTGTCATATCATAAATACTCATGGAAAATTTCGATACCGGATGATTCTGAAACTCTTTGTAATATTTCAACCAGGAAACTTCGAATTCCGAACCGGCGACGTTTGGGTGAGATTGAAATTTCATCATTAAATTTTCTATCGATTTCTGAATGTCTACTTGGGAATAATCTAATGTTGTGTTGATTACAATTTGAACAGGATATGCAAATTCCGTAAAATAGTGGTAATATATTTGATATGCTTTTGCTACTTTCGAATGTTTTGGATAAAATGTAGAGAAGTTGATGCCTTCTTGTAACAATGTTACTCCCCAAATACCTATTGAAAGATTAATTATGTACAATAAAATAACGACCAGTTTGACTAAAGGACGAGAGAGAATTTCGGCGACGTAATCTCTGAAGAATTCCATAAAAGCGTATTCGTTTTTCTCTTCTATATTGTGCTCGTTGGATCTTTCTGTGAAAAAGAGTATAATAAAAATTAATCATTCTATCAATAGCAAACATACTATATTCAAATTTTTGTTGCATATAAATATATAAAGATCTTTTTAGTTAAAAAATAATAACGTGGCTTACTAAATAAGTATATTTTGTTGAAAAATCATAAAAGAAATAGCATTAATTTTGGTTTCTAATTAACATGATAGCCCGGAAAGCCCCCTAGTGCGTATTCTAGCAGCAACGGTATTATTCATTGGTGTAAATAATAAGTTCCTATTACAAATAGGAATAATAATATATATTATTGTGATTAAATTATACTACTGTATTAATTTAATAGCTGAAAATCAATTGAAAAAACATCATCCAAAAATGTCAAAATAAATATTTTATTATTAAGCGTCAAATATGTAAAAGACGACACTTTCCTCTTTTGAATATATTATTTTAATATATTAATTATATTTTCTAATCTTTAATTTATGCACACGTCTAAGTGACCAGTACCAAAATAATCAAAATATAACGTGGAAATTGTTTTTAAAAAATGAGACAATAAACTACAATCCCTACGACATAAAACTAGATTTCTCCCAGATAATTACAGTCGACCCCCTATAACACGGTAGATATGTTTCAGTTGTTATGAATTCATTTCCTACGAGCCCGGCACGTATGCAGTTTACGGACTACGGCTGTTTGAAAAATTTTCTTCCATAAAATTAATCGATTCTAGACTAATTTGACTCAACATTTCCAAAATTCGTATAATTATTTTGGAATAATCCATATAAACCAAAAATTGTAGGATTACTTACCGAGTGTGCACCGTTTGACGACACTATTGCTTAAGCTTGTTTTCGTCATGGAGCTTGTCATCGAATGGCGCTCGCGTGCTTCCTGTTAAATTACTTTTTTGCGAAAAATTCGCTGAACTTTGGAGACATCATTAATATAAATATAATTTTTATGGACGTTAAGTACTCTTGGTGGTGACCAGACCCTAAACACCGGAGTTCGCGCCTCACTCGAACGAGCTGGCAGCTGGAGTTTTTTCCGGGTTTTCCTCCTAGCCAATAACGCCTGAATAGGGGCCAGCTTTCCCTCCAAGTCCTCCCGGAAGGCATTCTGTCTTCCTTTCTCGCGGGGGTCGTGTCGTCTCTTATAAGACCGGCTTTGACCTCTCCCCTGTCTTCCTCGGATTGGTCGTCTTCTATAAGACCGCCGTTTCCTCACTGTTTTTTCCGGAGTTAATAGCGGTAAGCTGGGCACTCCTCTATCGGCGAAGGAATGGACGTTTAATAATAAATAGTTTGTAGTAGATCCGCTGCTTGTTTAAACTCAACGGTTTGTACAAAATTCGCTATTGGTCTAGATTCGACCAATCCTGTCGCGACAGGAGACGGCGATGACGTTTTACCGAATTATAAAAGATTTTTAGCGTGTTTGTACGAATACTGTCGCAATTTTTTCGCCGTCATATAGGAATGCGAACTATATGAACCCGTTTTATAAAAAGGTCTACTGTATATAAAACTATTATTAAGAAGTTCGAGAACTTTTATAAATTATATGTGGAATGAAGAACATTAAAATTTCTCACCTTTTGTAACTCTAAAGGTAAATGCATTAAGACGACGTTCTTCTCTGTATCCACTTAGTGCTAAGCACGATCCAAAAAACGTAATCTGATACAAATAAGTAAAGCACACGCAAGTCGTTGCGTAATAAGAGAAAATCCTCACACCAGGAAACTCTGCGGTCATCGCTATGCAGAAAGATAAAATATTTGTCAAAGTTGTTATGGTAATAGAAACAGCAGATTTGGAATAAGTTTTCCCCATTCGTTCTTCCACGCTGTCTTCAACATCTGTAACTCTCCAATTTGCTACTATCACGAAGGCGTCGTCAATCTCTGTAGCTGGAAATGATATAAAAGTACTACTTTAATGTTTTATAAAATGTATGTAATATTGCAAAATGAAACGTTTATTCAGAAATCTCTACAACACTATACAAGTATAATCTATATGAAAATTTTTAAATGTTTAATTTTTTGTGTGAGTTCTGTTGGCTAAAATATTTATATTTTCATATCTCAAAAAATGCTTTTGATGTACTTCAGTAGATTTTAATTGTAGATTTTAACTTTTTATAGTCAAGAAATTATGTAATGGCGCCAGTTAATGAAACTTTGCATAGACGAATCAAATACTGTACGACATTGCTTTATTTTTCAAATACTATCCGGCATCATAGATAATATTTTATTAAAACTAATGCTTTATATGTTAAAAATAGTGACTTTTATCAAATAAACGTCGGGATTGGCATTTTCGCCTTCTTCGAATAATCATCAGATATTTAAACCCGCACAAATGTATAAGCGCCACAGATGAGTAATAGCACAAGCGTAAATTAAAATTATAAATTAAAAAGAAAGATCGCAAAATTTTGCAAAATTTACGCGATAAATATTGCACACATTTAGCAAAAAGTTTTCAATTTTCAAAAATTCTCGAGAAAAACAGCTCGTTGTGTTGTCTTTCGTATTGTCTTACTTTTCACAATAAGTATTTCCAGTAATATAACAAAGTGTAGCTTCCACCGGTATTTGATGGTATTCGATAATAATGTCGGACACAGTAATAATAATAAAAATTCGAGCTTTTCTTTGATTACTTAGTGGCAGGAACCTAAAATAAGTTTTTTTTTTTTTGTTTTTGACTTTCAACTATCTTTATGCTTTGTTAGTGTAGTGAAACGAAACAGAGTTACGTTATTCGAAGTGACCAACAAGTAAAATTACAGCTCTGGACTTGATAAAAAACAAATGATTTTGATTCATGTAAATAAAAAAGTCGAAAAAATTTAGTTTCATACAAACTTTTCATACTGTACTTTTCTCTGTTATCTCTGAAAATTTACGAACAAACATTTTATGTTAATATTCACTTCAAGATTTTTACTTACCGAAAATTAGGAACGGCAGCATAATATTAGAGTTGACATTTTCAATTCCACACGCACCCATCAACCCGAAAGAAGAAACCACTGCTAATCCAGCAGACACAACTGCAGCAATTCCCATCCAAGGTTTACTCTTTACCCAACTGTTTGTCGTATACGACATTGCACAGAAAATTGTTACAACAATAACAGCGACACTCATCAACGGTGTAATTTCATCAGCAAGGTTTTTCACGTCTAATTCAGAAACTAAGAAAGGACACGGATATATCTCGATCGAATGAAAATCCAATTTGTTGACATTCCGCAAAAACGCTTTTCGCCATTCACGAATCCAGTGTCTTTTAGAGAAATTCGATTCGTCAACGGGATAAACAAGTCTTATATATTCTACTTCCTGAACATATCCGTTTACATCATATTTTACTCCGCCGAAGTTAATTGCCCACAGTTCGTATGTATAAGTAAAGGGATCAATTTGAAGAGGAAATTTTAACTTTTTTTTTCTAGAAAGTAATTTATCCATCTCCGGTAATATATTTATTATCGGGTTTTTCATGCACTTCTCGTTCATTATGCCACATATATTTCTATAATTTACTACTTTTCCATCTACAATAATCGTTATGTTTTTAATTATTTCATCCAAGATTTGTATATCGAGTAAATTGTCTTTTTGTATTAAATTGTTTCCGTATTTATTTTTAATGTAAACCATTGCAGCTTGTGGACGATCTGTCATTCTCATGAAATCGTAGAATACGGATGTGTTCATGGAAAACATCTTGCTAATAAATTGTTTATTTTCAAAGGTTTCTCCTCTATCAGACTGCACTAGATAATCCACAGTTTCTATGGTTATGAGTTTAAGTAACCCTACCGAAAGTAAAACTGATAGAAGCACAGGTGAAATGAAGAAGTAAAAGGGATGTCTTGCAATAATTCTTCCCAATTTATGAAATAGAAAAGACAATGAATAGCTCATACATGTTATTTTCATTTTTCTGTACTTATGTCGTATATATACTTTATAGTAAGTGCTCGATATTGCTCTTTTTATTCTGAAGAAAAGATTTCTGAAAAGTTGTAAAAAATTCAATTATACAAATGGTATTTAAATATTCATATTTAACTTTGTTTATAATTTCTATACAATAAATAATACTAAAAATAAAATATAATATAATGCAATAATAAAACAATAGTGTTCGAATGCTCATAAGAATTTTTCTAACAGAAATGTTGAAGAAACATCAATGTAATTTTTATTCGCTTTTAAATTAAATAGCTTGTTTTACTGTAATTTATGGCAAGTTCTTTTAATGTAGTGAATGAGGTAAGATAGCGTCATTTAGTTTTATTTTATTCGATTACGGTTGACACATGGAAAGATTAAATGTTTTTCGAAAAATATTCTATTGAAAACTGCTCCATATTTAGGTTTTACTGAGGTGAGAAGTCCAGGAAAGGATATCGCCGACATGTTAGCGAAGTGCAAACCCACGACGAAGTGTTCAATAGTTTTATTTTCTCAGCCGCTGTTGGGTGCTGATATAGAGTCGTTTCGGAAAAATAACTAATAATAAAAAAATATTATAAGAGATAAAATTAAATGAACTAAATAGTAAAGTTCTGTATCTGGACTGCTGTATGTTACTATGTATATGTCAACCCTGTATGTACAACTATGTATATGTATATGTGTATATGTATACTAACCCGAAATGCATATGTCATTTTTTAAAGAATAAAAGTGAGTTCCTAACTAAAAGTGCTGTGAGTTTGTCTACCAAAAAACCTTTTGGATTACAGAGACGAATTATATACATAAATAGTAAATTATCATAACCACTGGTTGAATGACCTTTACTGGCATTTAGGCGTGTATATATCCAGCAGATACATGGCAATTTTTTATTGAATTTTTCAAAAATAAATAATACGAAAACACTCTAGTTTATTGAATTAAAACTTGTTTATTAAATGATAAAAGTGACATGTGAACAAGTAAACAAAATTTTTATCACAAATTTGTGTTACTTTCCTTCACGATTTTCACTTCTTATGGGATAACTTTGGACGTTGGTCGTCTGTTGACCCATTTTCTATCATAGGGATGTGAAGTGTTTGTTTTTGTTGATTGTCGCATGGAACTGTAGCGAAATATATGTAGAATTCGTCTGAAACAGATGCCTTCAGATTGTATCTCAGAACTAGATGAAAACTTACAAAAGTTAAAAGTTAATGTAAATTGTTTGTAATGAAAGGTTTTCCAAACTGTCTCAACCAGGTAATGTTTAAATTTTTACAATTAAATTCGTGACTCTCTCTTACATTTTTAAACTAATTTCTGATCCTAAAATTTTGATCATTGTTTCACCGAGATCTAAAATTTGCTCGAAATTTCCAATCTCTGACAACGATCAAATTTTCGATTTAATTTTTGCAATGTCTAATGTATGGAATACCTCACTTAAAAATTCTGAAGTTCCATTTCGGATACTTCTTTTTTTCTATTTCGAATTGTTAGTTCTACTAAACTACATGTCTGTCTCTTTATCGGGACCAAACGTATCGTTCCACTTGCTGGAATGTCCATTTCTCGAGTCTGTTCTGAACCACTGTTAACGTGGAGGAAAAGTTTTTTTTCGTGTCCATTGGGCTATTTTAGCAATGGCATTCAGCTTCTCTCGTTGCCTTTTCTCTGGGACACGTATCAAATTGACGATACCATTTGTATCAAATTCAGAGAGACGATACCATCTGTATCAAATTCATTTATATCGAACAATGAGATAAACAGTTTAATCGTGACTATTCCTTTTAGTAAATTTGTTTGCAAATTCTTTAGACAAAAATATGGCCATTGATCCGATCAGCACTATGGGATATTCGCGAATTGTGCACTGCATTACGGGTTTTCCGTTTGAAAAATATTTGTTTTTTTCTTTTTTCTCCTAATCTTTACTTCCTCGAAACCTTTCTTGCTCGTTTTTCCGTTGTCGTTTAAGTTTTTACTGTTGTTGTTGCTTTAATCTATCTGGCTATTGTGGCTTTAATTGCTTTCTAAACTCTTCTTTCTTTGTAGAGAGGAAGTTTCTATCATCTCTGAATCTACATAACCGTCATTTGGATGCGATTGGTTGATTTCTGTAATGATGCATATTCGCTTTTTGCAAAAAAATTGTTTTTGCGGTGCCCGTAAAAAGTTTCGCAGAGGCCTAAAATAATTTCTACTTGGCTTATTTATGTAATGTTTTTATGTCCTTTACTTGCCGTTGTAGGCTTAAGAAAGAATTTTTATTCCTTTATCTGGTTCATAGTTTTTTTGTTTTTTTTGTAATAGTGCGACAGATTCGTAGCTTCGTTTCTTTGTTAATATTTCTATTGTGTCTTTACTGATGGCAATTCTTAGTGTGTCATCAAATATTGCAGGTTCTGTTGACACAATACACTGTCGAATCCTACTATCTACTCCGTTCAAAAACTGAATTTTCATTTTCTCATCGAGTTCCTTTGCTATTATTCCCTGCGTTACCACTCTTTCTGTTGCATCTGTGCCTGTTCTGTTTTGATTACCATCGCAAGTGACAGAAGTTTTACCGTATAAGTTTGAAATGATTTTCTTCATGAAGGCGACCATATAATCCCTGAACGCGTAAAGAATAAGGTTCTCTATCAAGACTACTATCATAATGACCTTGAACGTATTGAAATGACCTATGTCTTTAATTCGATTATCTTTGTGAGAAAATTGTCGTTCAATTCCTTTTAGATTGAGTCTGGCTATGACTTGTCTTTGCGCTTTGGTTCATATTGTTATTTTTGTTAGATCTGCTTAAAAGTAAAGAAATCTCTTACACTAAACCTGTCGAGGTCTCCCGAAAATGTAGGAAGCAATGATACCATTCTGTCTCAGCCACTTAATGTGACTGGATTTGTCTCTGCAGGATTGCACTTGGCTTACATATTCTACTTTTTCTTTAACTTCTGTATCTCTAGATAAATTTATCAAATGTAAAATACTAGACACGCAACCTGTCTACTACGGACAACCTGTCTTCGAAGAACAATTTGTCTTCAAAGGACATCCTATCCTAAAAAAAAACTACCTAATTTCAAAAGAATCGATAGAATCAATGTAAATAATCCTGTGACAACTGGATCTGTTATACTCTGCTCACTGTTATATAAGATGGCTCCAAGTAAGTCAAAAATCTAAAAGTGCTGAGTGAAACAGTAAAGTCCATTCACCTATAGTCAAGTCCTGACATCAGTTAAAATGATTATTTTGTATCATGTTCTAACTCGCCATAAAAAAACGATCTATTTTATTTTAAAATAATCTGACTGAGAGGAATTGAAGGATAACCTCGAGTGGCAGAGAGTCGAGCTGATTTAGAAAAATGGAAATCGAATCAAATTTAATGAACTAACTACATTTATTTGTATCTGGGTTAAACTACAACATATCTGGGTTAAACTACAACATATACATAGCATATATATAGTACCTACGGTACAATATAAGTTTAAGCTAATCTAAGACTTCACTATAATGAAGCTAACTACTATCTAAATATTTCAGGGTACTATCACTGAACGAGAGAGATTACATAAATTATTATACTACCTGGGAATATCATGAAAACATTTCTTCTTGTTACATTTTTCTTTCAAAGAGTCGGTATATTCAGATAAGGCAGAAACTACTGTAGGGGCTGTCTTACGCCCTATATGGCAAACAGCTTGTTGACCATGATCACAAGCAAAAATAGAGAGTGATTCCACCTTTTCTTAGAAAATGTAGACCAATCGGACTTGTTCCCAAGTTGTCATTCATTGCTAAATTTTCATTTTTAGCAGGAACAATCAACATTTTCTGAATCACAGGAAACAAAGGAAAAGTTGAAAATAAATAAAATTTTATTTTTCTTTCAATTTACAAAATTCATTTAATTTTTTACAAAATTTTATAAATCCTTTTAACTCTTAAATAGTTTCCACCCTCCAGGTTCTAACAAATTAATGATTTTTAAACTGTATATCGCAAAAGAATGGTAAGTGTGGCGCAAGAATTTTTGAAAGTTATTAAATACATTATTTTCAAAAGAGCCGAATAAACAATATGTTAACATGACAAAGTTAAAACCTTTAACTTGATTTTATAAGTTTTTCATTGTTATATCATAAATAAACGTTTACATAACAATCAATTATTTATTGTGATATTGTCATAAAATCAAACTGCAATTTTTGATCATATTTTAAATTTATTTTTAAAAAAATATATCCTCTTCAACTTAAATCAGTGGTGGCTTGCCCCAGTATATCTGTCATGTATCTAACACATTTCTGGGTAAAATATTTTAATTGAAATAACCTGACTTCAGGTTTTCATCGATAGTTCGTATATAGTTTATTGTGGCATTTGCCCATAAAGTTTTCAAATGTAGTCTCGAGATTAACAAAGACAAACGAACTGACAGCAGATGGACGAAAGTGGGAATTTATAAGTCTACAATTTTTTTTTTCAAATTGGAGATTAATATTGTAAAAAATTTATATTAACAAATACAATTATATGTGCATAACACCGGGTTATTTCATTGAAATTTTATTTAAATAAAAAACTTATTTATAATTATAAATTACTCTAACTTAAAAAATATAAGGACATTCAACAGGCAATTATAACACTACATTTAAATGCAAAATAAGACATAAAATTAATTCGTTTATTTATGTAAATGAAAATTGTTAATTTAAATAACTATTGACGTA